CCTGCTGCTGGAACTGCCACCCCACCCTCCTACCTCTCTGGGGATGGCTTGGAAGCTTCTTGGGAAGATAGAGAGCAGCCACTGAATTCTCTTCTGCCTCTTGGCTGGAGGCGGGGAAGAGACGCCAGGCTGCCACGGGCAGAATCCGTGTCCCTCAGCACAGGCTGCAGAGCCACAGGACAAGCTGGCTGGGGACAAAGGGTTGTGCCTGGAAAAACCCTCCTGCACCTCTTCCGTGGTCATCCAGAAGGGCTGCTGAATAAATGATTATTTCCTTCTGTGGGTCCCAAATTCAAAAATTGTGGGAGGGGGGAAGAGGCTTTTCCCCATGCTTGGTTTTGTAAATCTCTGCCAGCTCTCCCTTCCCTCTTGGTCCCAAACGGTGTGTGAGGTGGCCCTTCTGGTCGGCTTTGGCTCTAGGTGATGCAATGAGAGACCAGTGTAGTTTGCTTGGCAGGATTTGGGGAATTGGTTGTCCCTTGTTCCTTGGGCCAAGTGCCCCCTCACACCCCCACCTGGCTTCCATGCCTAAGAGAAGTGTAGGGCCTGGGTCTCCTTGCTCCTGGTTGAAGGTCTTCACTACTGCATCCCTCTGCCTGGTTGGGGAGACAGAGAGATTCCACGCCACAACCATCCAGTGGGTTTCCATGGCTGGGCGGGAGTCAAGCACCGGCTTCCCCAGATTTTGTCATTTAACTGTTACCTAAATGGGCTCTCTTGTCCCCTGCTAAAGAGCCCCATTGCGTGGCCTTCCTCCTGGGGGAGCAGGTAACAGTATACTTTTTAAGATGGGGGGGGAGCACAGCTGGACACAATCCAGCACGTGCCATTTGCCACTGATTTGTATGAGGGCTTTGTTATTCCAGCCTGTGGTCTTCTAAGCGCTCCCATTGATGCCAGGCACGGAATCGATCCTCTTTAGAGCGGCTGCACCTGAGCGAGGAAGTTTTCCCCGCTGCAACTCCACTGCCTCTTTCTTGATCCACCGTTGCACCCATCCCATTCACGCATGCAGGAAATTTAGGTTTTTACAACATGGAAAGTCACTCCTAGATTATGGAAGGGCGTTTTTTTGAACCACTTGGTCAGGGGTGCATTGGACAAGCTGGACTTGATCAACCTCAGTGGCCTCTCCCTGCTCCAGGATCCATGCTTCTCTCTGGCGTCTGGCATGGTGCCCCTTGGGACCAGGGACCCCTTCCCTATGGACTGAGTGGAAGCAAAGGAAGTGGAGATGTTGTGATGACACAGGCAGACTCACAACGCACACCCTGTGAGCCATCTTGTCAACACTCCCCCCCTCCCCCCCCCAGGAAGTTTCTCCAAAATCCTGTGTTCCTTTAAAATACATTTTGAAGCCAAATTCTTGTTCATCCAGTTGATAGTAGAACTGGTAGGAAAGAAAGGAAGAAGTAAGTACATTATCTGATTTGAGGAGGCTCAGAGGACGCCCACTGATGGAAATACCTCCAGGGAAGAGGTTGGGCAAGAGACACCTACTTCTTCTGACTGCCGGCTGAGGCAGAGTTTGGGCCAATGATTGCTTAACAAGGCCAGACAAAACTTGTGATGCCCTGAAGCAGAAGAATTTGCTGCCAAATGGTTATGTATCCCGGGTTGGCAATTGGCTCCCCAGGTTGCATCCTGTCCTGAAGTGAAAGTGGGTGAAGCCCAGAGACCCCCCTCTAAGGCAGCCCCTTCCCTGAATCTGGCCTTCTGGAGACGTGAGGGGCTGCTGTCCTGGCCTGTCCCACTGGCATCCTCCTTCCTGGGACAGGCTGCCCTGCGGTGGCTTTTCTGAAATGAAAGCAGGAATGGGCATCCTCTTGGCTCAGCCATCTTTTCTTCCAGCGCAATCACACTGTTGCCTGTTCACACACGGCCTTTTCTCTTCATGTTGAATTAGTGAAAATCTAACAAGCAGCCGTGTGAAGGGAAGCTCACCTCTTTTGTCGGCACTCCTCACCCGCCTGAAAGGGCACATACTTCTCAACAATGGTTGGCAGCCTTCTCCCCCCCCCCCCCCCCCCCCCCCCGAGTTTGGGCCCCCCCCCCCCCCCCCCCCCCCCCCCGCATCTTGTTAGGAATTGGGTCACTGGGCCATTGCTCTTCCTAGCCCTACTCCTGACTGTTTGTGTGAAAAGGATGCAGGGCAGGTAGAGAGGGAATTTGGAGCTGGGGACGGGAGCCTGAGAGCTGCCTCGCAGTACCTCAGGAACCTCAGCCTTTACGAAGGCCATCTACTCCAGAGGCCGGAGCCATTCCCTTCCCTCGTGGCATTGCCTTCCGTGCTAGGAGTTCAGGTCTGACAAGGGCTCCATTGCATGGACCGAGGGCGGAGTGAGATGTTGTTTTCTGCTTTCCCTGCTGTTCCAGCTTTCTCTTCTTAGGTTTCTGGAACCCGAACGGGCTGATCTTTTGGGCAGGAGAGGATACTGTCAGGGCGGGATACTATTGGCAGTAAAATTGTCAGCCCCAAGAACTAAGAAAAACACATAAAGTTAGTTCCAAATAGTTTCCTTTATTATTTCTCACCAGTCGATAGAAATCTCTACTTGGGAATGTTGTATTGTTGGGATATATTGTGAGAATTTCTAGGGAGGAGCCATCTTAGCCCTCTTCCTCCCAGCCCACCTCAATTTTGCTGTCTCCTGCTGGGAATCCCGACTCCATTCAACCACAAAAACCCAGTATTTGCTCTCCTAGATAAGCCTAGATAGGATCAGAACTTATGGAGTTGCAGTTGTTAGCTTTTGTTTATTGAATTGCATATCATATTTAACCTAGGCTTGTTGAACAAATTATGATTAAGGAAAGTTTTGTTCAGCAGAAGGTATGTAGTCACTTCTAATGATACCAGGGTTTGGATTCATCCTCATGTTTTTGTAGTGAGAGTAAGAAATAAGACTCCACAGTTGTTTATTCAGTGAAGATGTAATACTTAACTGTTACGGAAAAAGATTGCTGTTCATAAACAGTTCAAACCATGATTTCTGTGTCTATAAACAATCATTAATTGTATCTGATTTTTGGATTAGGACTGAAAGTCTAATGAGGAATGTTTATCTTGGAAGTATTTTATGATAGGTGACCATATAGTATTGTTCTAGTTATAATTCTACCGTGTGTGTTAATGCTTAATATAGTAATTATTTTTGCTTGAATAAGTTTTAATATATGCTCATTTGGAAAATCAATTTGTACAGCAGAATATAAATAACTTAATTGATTCAGCAACAGGATCTTGTTGGAAACTGTTTATACACTGTATTGTCTAAATCTGGATCTCTGACAGATAACGTTTCATCGTGTTTGTTTTCCTCCTCTGTTGATATCATTCTCCTGAATGCTGAAGGTTAAGCTCCAAAGGTATCAGAGCTGGAAAGGTAAAACAGAAAGTATCCCGGGGGGGATCCAAGTCCTCACTGGTTTGTCTACATAGGCCAGACAGCAGCTCTGGGGAGTCGGAGCTATCGGATAGTTGCAGGGCAATGCTGGACCACCGCTGGCTGCACCTGGAAAGATTTGGTTGTGCCCTAAGTCAGCTGCATTCCTTGTGGGAGAAAAGGATACCCAGGTCAGCTGGCCTCACTGGAGGCCAAGGAGAGATGAATAATGACTCTGGCTGTCACCAGGCTGGTTTGCTTGGTCCACACAACCAGTCAGGGCCAAAGTAGTGTTGCTGGATAGTGTTGCTCAGACCAGGGAGCAATTGTGTGTGAGCAATACAACCTCGAGGCTGGGAAAAGAACAGCCTCAAGCCTGCCGACTCTAAAGCAGGAGGAAGAAGCATAAGAATTTAAACCTCTGGACTTAAATAATCTTAAGACACAGGGCTGGGTTTCTGTGTTGTGCATCAGGAAGATTGTCTGTGTATATTAACAGCAAAACAACTCATCTAGCAATATCCACTTCTTGAAGTCTCTGCTGCATTGTGGCTAGAGGTTATGAAATCTGATACAGCCAACCCCATGGTTGCTTTTAAGGGCATTGTTTACTTTCTTTCAACTCCAGGGAGCTGACACCTCCTATATTGGCCATACATTTGGTAAAGTGTCTTCCCCGTGAAAGAACCATCCTTCCAACTGAAAGGTTCTCTCTGCGCGCTTCCTGGCATTAAGAAAGGATGTTTTAGGTTCTGTTCATTCCTCTGCCTTGTGATGACACATTCTGGTGTAGCAAGAAAGCCTGAAGAGTTGGCAGTGGATGGCTTGCCCTGGCAGTTTGGACAAGGCTAGAAAACAACTTGGTGACTTTTTAACTTTTGCTTTTTGATCTGTGACAAGTTCTGGGTGAAGGAGATCCTAATGCCATCCTTTCTTCAGACTCAGTTTGAAATGGGCAGCTCTGAGACATTTGAGTCTCAGCAGAACAGGGGCTGGGTTTTATGCAGGCAGACCTAGCTTCTTTCTCACGCGGTGTCCCTGCTTTGTCTGTGCTTCTTCAAGGGGAGAGGAGGCACCTGCTTATGAGCTGCAACCTGGCTTTGTATTCAAGAATAAAAACTAGGATTGTACAGAGGGCAGGAAAGGATTAGAAATTAATTAGAAAAGGATTAGAAATTAAAAGAAATTAGCAGTCAAGGCGCCACATCAATGGCGGCTTAACTCAGGTAGAAGGAAACCCAGGAAGGACTATTTCAAATCATTTAGATGAACTCCACCTTCAAAAATGAGGGTAGGCCATTCCTTTTGTGGTTTCCAAGACACCTTTGCCTTTATATTAAAGAGACCTTTCTAAAATCTGAATAATTGCTTCCTTCAGCTTGATCAGTTGGGCGGGCTTGGTAGGGTTTGTATATTGTAATGCATCACATATTCTCCTCCTCTTCCAGCTGACAATTCTCTCTTGGGTTTTGTGAAGAAAATTGCCTCACAGCTGCCTCACAGCCTCAGGAGCCATCGGTGCATGGTGGGGGGGGGGGGCTCCTCTGCCACTGGACATGGGCTGTTGTGGGGGTATCCACCTGACGGCCCAGCGGTCCCGCTTTTGTCTTTCAGATCTCTGACATCTACATCAGTGGAGAGTCGGGGGACATGTCTGCTAAGGAAAAGCTCCTTTTGTGGTCACAGAAAGTAACGGCTGGTTACGTGGGACTCAAGTGCACCAACTTCTCTTCCTGTTGGAGTGACGGGAAGATGTTCAATGCCGTCATCCATAGATATCGGTAGGTAGAAGCCCTCTCCTCCCCCTCAACATGTAAGGAATATTTGTCCAAAATAGGCGACACTCCTAATACTGGAATGAGCCTTATTGGTATTTTGTGCCTGGATATTGAAACTGTCCAGGCTGTGAGTGAGCTCCCAAGCTAAGTTCAAAGTTTTACTTTTTCTGACTAATCAGTTTTACTGAATTCAATCTTTTTTTAATTTTATTTTTTTCAACCTCTATTTGTTTATTTATTTATTTATTTATTTTTGTGCAACCAGAAGTCTGGAAGCACACTTTCAGACTAACATATTAAAAGGCTGCCAGCTCACATGCCTATTTTTTTTATTTTTTTTGCTGCCATAGACTTTAACTCGGCTCTGTGTGGCAGCCATAAAGAATTTGGGATCAAAATCCTCCAGCCAGACCCCAGAATGCTACTGAAGGGTCATTGAGGGGCTTTCTTCTGTAGTGGCACCAAAACTTTGGCTGCTTCCTTACCTCTTCACCTCACCAATGCACAAAGCTTTTCTTGTAAAAAGATCCTTCCCTTCCTCTGGCCCTTCTCTGTACCAAAATCAGGTGAATGGTTTGATTTCTGATTTTTTTCCCATTTCCCCTTTTCACTCTGAATAACAGTGATGTGCTGTTGGGTTTGATTTATTGTGTTGGTGTCTTTCCCAAACCACCTGGAGCAGGAGTGTCAAACTCCATTTCATTGAGGGCCACATCAGGGTTGTGTTTGACCTCGGAGGGTGGGGGAGGGGGGGAGGGGGAGGGGCCATGGTGGGCGGGGCCATGGCGGGCGCTTGACACAGGTTGAAGATGCATTTTTCCCTTTGCATTCAAAACAGCTATTCCAGACAAAGGGTGGTTTACTTTCTGTCACCAATAGTCTCAATTCCATAATGTAGAGATTAAAGATATGCCGAGTCCCCAGCTGCTATGGGGCTGGACTCTTTTGTATAGGAGCACACAGTTGCTCCAGGTGTCTCTAAAAACTGTCTGTCCAACAGTCTTATCAATCAATAAGTATATCATGTCCACCGTATTTTGCTGGTCTACTAATTTTGTTGCTATTTATTAGTGGCTGGAAACCCCTGGAGGATTTTTTTTGCTGAAAAAAAAAGGGAACAAAATGTGCTTCTCCCCGCAAGACCCCTGGCAGGCTTTGTTCTGATTGCAGGGATTCGGGAGGTGGGTGCTTAGGAAACCAGAAAACTTTTGTAGGAGGAGGTGAGGGGGCTGCACAGATCTTCCCCAGGAGAACTTTGCTCTCCGAGGAGGAGGAGGAGGAGGATGGAGCTGCCTTTGCTCAAGGAGGGCTTCCCTGTTAGGAAAGGAGGCCACCAGCATGCTGGCCTTCTCAGTGTGCTCTCCTCAGAAACTTCCCATTGACGATGGGCCTCCCTTTGCAAATCATGTGCGTCCACAGAGGCCTCCTGGTAACGTGTGTGTGTGTGTCCCCATGTGGAGAGTGGGGTGCGGGTGTTCCTTTTCTCCTTTAGCAGATATGTGCCACTTGCTTGCAAATGCTGAGTTGTCATAGTTCAGCTTCTCTGTTCCCTACAGACCAGACCTTGTGGACATGGAGAGAGTTTACCTTCAAAGCAACCAAGAGAACCTGGAGCAGGCCTTTGAGATTGCTGAACGGCTTGGGGTCACCAGGTTGTTGGATTCAGAAGGTGATTGAGGGAACTTTGGCGGGAGGTTGCATTGGATGGAGATGCAAGTGGTGGGATTCAAATTTTTTTACTACCAGCTCTGTGGGCGTGGCAGGGGAAGGTTACTGCAAAATCCCCCTTCCCTTCCCTCCCCACCCCACTAACCTGCTTTCCAGCTCCGTTCTCCTGTGCAGGGCAACCAAAGGAGAACCAGCCGATCAGCTTGGGACTCAATGGGAGGCGGAGAAGAGATGGGGTTCGCGGGGCCAGTCAGAGGCGGTGTTGCCCGTTCTCTAAACAACTCAAAATTTCCACTACCGGTTCTCCAGAACTGGTCCAAACAGGTTGAATACCACTTCTGGTGGAGATAAGTTGAGAAAGTTGGGCCCTGGAAAGCAAGAAAGTTTAGATGTTGAAGTGACCAAACCAACTAGGTTTCCAACACTGGCAGCAGCATGTTTCCAAGTCAGGTAGATCCCTCCTTCACTTCTCAGCATTCTGGGGTTGCTTGAGAAGGTTAACCAGAGGGCGCAGGGCTTTCCAGGGTCTCCTCCACAGCCTGAGATGCGCCCGTGCGGTTGCTTAACAGCTGCAGAGGAGGAGGGAGCTGGGGTTGCAGTTGTTAAGTGAGGTGATCACAGGGGTACCTTGCATAACAAAGCAATGACTTACAACCCAAGTTGTGGGCTTAATTATGGTCATATGATGAGAACTGTTTATATGTCTATTATCTGGCATTACTGATTTCCAAAACACTTTAAGAATTTGCTTCCATTAAAAAGCCAGCATTGCCCCAAGATGCATGTAGGCTTCCGGGCTTTCTGGAGGCACTTAATGGATTCAAATGGATCTGCGCTGATTCCTGCAGAATCTGAGGCTTACATTTAGTTGCAGTGTGAACAATGCAGGTTCTTGTGAACTATGCAACTTGAGATTGCAGATGGTAAGAACTCTGTTCTTAATTGTTTTGCCGAAAAAGGAGAGAGAAGGTTATTTGTTGTATGTTAAAAAAAAAAAAACCACCACTTTGGGGCAGAAGATTCAAGAGAACAGAATATCTTCCTGGTTCCTAAGAGAATTTATATTCCATGGTGGAGCACACCACAGTCTTGATTCCCTACATGAAAGGTGAAGTCATGCTGTCGTGAAAAAGCTTTAGACGCAAGTCATTTTTCTTTCTTTTTTTCAGATGTTGATGTCCCTTCACCAGATGAAAAATCTGTAATCACTTATGTGTCTTCAATTTATGATGCCTTCCCCAAAGTCCCTGAGGGAGGAGAAGGAATTAGTGCCACTGTAAGTTTTGCTACTCTTTATTCAGCCTGGAGGTTCACTCAACATTTTGCTTTTCTACAACTTCTTAGCACTGTTGTTTCCAGATGAATGATGTCACTGTGTACCTGTAAGGAGAAAGGCAATGGATTGGTACGACAGCCAGGGCCTTTGGTCAACTGAAGTACAAATAGACTTGTACAGTAAAAGAGTTTGTGTTTCTAATTCTTTTAAGAGCTGAATTGTGAGAAAAGTTGCTCTCCTGCTTCAACTTTTCTCATCTTTATATTATGTGGGAGATGTGTTGGCAGGGAATTGGCAGTTGTGGTCTGGCTCATCTGGCTGAAGTCAGGTTAGAAAGTCATCCTCTTCCTTGCTGCCTCTTGGTGGAAATTCAGCTTTTAGGGAGTGGGGATTGTTCTTCAGCTTCCTCTACTGCATTGATAGGTGGGCACTGAGACCCCCATCCTGCCCAGCTGTTTCTTGGTTGCATTGGAGCCTTGGCACGGGCCTTGAGCCATTTTTGCAAAGCTGAACAGAAAGTGTTCAGCATTCTGGTGCCTGTTTTTCCTTCTGCCCCATTTTGATGGTCCTTCTTCAGCCGGATGTTTTTGCCTGGTGTTTCCTCTTTATCCAATGCCACTTGATTGTCCTTGATTTCCCCCTTTTCTCATAGGAAGTGGACACAAAGTGGTTAGAATATCAAACCTGTGTAGAAACACTCATCAGCTGGATCAAGCAGCATACGATACAGATGTCTGACAAATCTTTCCCCCAAAACCCTGTAAAGCTCAAGGTAAGTTCTAGCTAGTTTTCCTCTTACCATATCTGAAATAGCTCCTGATTTGAGTTGCTGCACGGTCCCTTCTATCCAAAATACAAATATAGTTGATTCTGTGGCCTTGGTTGAGCTTACCTGTAGATTTCATCCCAACTCAGAGAGTCAGTTATCCAATGAGGAGGACACCAGATTAGAAACCAGAAGACTGTGAGTTCCAGTCCTTCCTTAGGCATGAAAGCCAACGGGGAGACTGGGCCAATCATTCTTTCTCAGACTAGCCCACCTCACAGGGTTGTTGTTGAGGGCAAAGTAAGAAAGCAGGAAAGTATTGGGTTATATTAAAGTATATAAAGTAATAAAGGTATGACAATTTAAAAAAAACCTCAAGGTCCAATTATAGCAGCCCCTGAAGTAACATGATGCTTTTTGTTTTGGAGGGGTCTTAGAAAAAAAATATTTTTATCTGTTTTCTGGTGTGCAGTCTCTCTTTGGGCTACGGCACGGGGGACAATCCTAATTACAGGCAGGCAGCTGGTCTCTGGAGTAGCGGAAAACAGTTGGGTGGTCGTTCGCTGCTATTTGCTGCTGGGGAGTGGGGGAGGCAGGGCATAGGAAGGAGGGTCTCATGGGCAAGGCTGTGGTTGTGGAGAGGAACCACTTCCCACTCCCCTTTCCTTTGGATCACTAGAGGCAGAGAGAGGAAACTGAGAGAGGCAGCAGGATTGTGTTTGGATATGAGGAAGGGGAATGTGTGTCTTTGGGGGGGGTGTCACTCTTCTGCTCCTCTTGGCAACTGAAGTGGAATGAAAGATTCTGAAAAGCACTTGGCTGCATGGTTTTTCCTGCTAAAGCTAAGTGCTAGGAAGGGTTGGCTCTGGGGGTTTATTTTATAGGCCACCGCAGTCCACAGACTTTAGGAAATGCACAAGGTCATCTAAAGCCCACTTTAAAACATCAACATGGATAAAACAGGTGACTGCCCACAATTCTACATTGCAATGAAAGGCCCTTTGAAGAAGAAGAAAAAGAAAAAGAAAAAGAAAAAGAAAAAGAAAAAGAAGAAGAAGAAGAAGAAGAAGAAGAAGAAGAAGAAGAAGAAGAAGAAGAAGAAGAAGAAGAAGAAGAAGAAGAAGAAGAAGAAGAAGAAGAAGAAGAAGAAGAAGAAGAAGAGAAAAAAGTTTTCAGGACCTCTGAAATGTCAGAAGAGGAGAGCAGCATATGAACCCACCATATAAGGACCACTACCGAAAATGGCTTTTTATGGGGGTGGGAATCTCTATCTAGACTGGGCAGGCAGCCTCAGACATAGAATCAGGCAGATCCTGATGTATCCTGGCAGCACTACCTTGATGAGATCCTGAAAATTACTGGCAACTGATACAACCATGGGCTTCGCTCTGTGGGAGCAGATTTCCCCAGCTAACAGCCTGGCTGTAAGAACAGCAGCTTCCATATCACCTGCATTAAGGGCAGCCCCATTGAAAGAGTGCTGCAGTTACCTGCTCGTGTGATGATCCGGATGTGAGTTCTTGGGGGTTTAGAATCAGGAACAAGAATGGTCCAGTGTAACAAAGAATAAACTGGCCGCAGGGTTGCAGGAAGGGAACTTAACATTTGGAAAAGGATTGAGCAGGAGATCCTAGAAAGTTGCCTTCTGCTGAATAAGGCCCCCTGTGAGAGATTGTGAGGAGGCCAGGAAGTCCACACAAATAATCAAGAAGCAGCACCAGCCTTGGTAGCAAGAAGGGAGTTGTAGAGAAGCTGCCCTTTATGGTCCCACTTCTTGCTTCTAAGAACTTTCTGCAGATCAAAATACGCATTTCCTCTTTTTTTGTCCTTCTTGCCTTTAAGAAAGACAATTCATGGATAAACCCTCTGATTTTGCAGGCACTTTATAACCAGTATATCCACTTTAAAGAAACAGAAATTCCAACCAAACAGTTAGAAAAAAGAAGCATTGAAGAGTTATACAAATTGCTGGAGGTAAGAGACTTGCATAGATGTATTGAGATATCTTAGAACAAGGGTTGCAAATTACCACCCTGGCTTGACTTTTATTGGATGGCATAGAATTTCAGTTCTGCATTCCCTTAAATCTGGCACATGAGGGTCAATCAAAAGTAAACACTCGGCTCAGCTTGGCACAAAGTTCCCCCAGTGAAGTTTTATAGCATGAACCAAGTCTCTGTTCTAATTCTCTATAGCACTAAATATGTGGGGCCAGCAGCAGTTTTCCTGGGAAGACTTGTTTTTTTGGGGGGGGGGGGGGGTGGAAGATTATGAAAGGTGGCGGATCAGGCCCTTCTCCTGCCCCAAGTAGGCTGCTGTCAAATTCTGTGGTTACAATCACACCTCCCTCTCTCTCTCTGGGCCTGACCTCTGGCAGCTGCTCCCTAGTCGTTTTCCATATAAATGACTGAAATTTAGCTCAAACTGAGCTCAGTGAATTTATACCGTGGCTACTGTGCCTTACGTTATTTAAGACTCTCTAAATTTTGTCCAAAGAGTATTTGTTGGACAAGATACAGTTGTTTGCAGAGGAGAATTTTCGGGTAACTAATTCTCATTTGCTGCACCTCAACCCGGACAAAAGAATGCATAGCTTGGGTCTCAAAGCCTCTTTGTATGGGGTGCGTCCTGTGGTCAGGCTCAGGAGAAATAGCTGCTCCTCCTCTGTTGTGCTTTCCAGGTTTGGATTGAATTTGGCCGACTGAAGCTACCGCAGGGCTACCATCCCAACAACGTGGAAGAAGAGTGGGGAAAGCTGATCATAGAGATGCTGGAGCGCGAGAAGCTGCTGCGACCGGCTGTGGAAAGGTGACCCCCGTGCTGGGCAGTGGGAGGGTTGGGAAAGTTTTTTTCTCTGTGTTGCAAAGCCTGCTTAAGCTAAACTCTTGTCCTGCAAGAAAACAAAAATAAACATAAATATCCCTTCTTAGAAAAAGAAGTGGCTCATCTGTTCTCTTTGAAATATTGACCGAGGCTTTATTTTGCAGACTGGAGTTGCTGCTGCAGAGAGCAAACAAGATTCAGAATGGGACCCTCAGCTGTGAGGAAAAGCTCACCTTGGCAAGGAACACGCTGCAGGCTGTAAGTCTCTGCTCTTGGCCTCCCTCCCTCCCTCCCTCCCAGCTACTGTGAGTGGTCTCACCTTTGGTCTCTGGGGGCCACGAGCCTCGGTTTGTGGCCTTTGAAATAGTTCAGGCTTGGACTTGAGCTTGGACTCTGTCATTACAAAAACAGACCTAGGGAATTAGTGGATGTGGCTGTGAAGTAAGTGTGCCAGACATTTCCCAATTTGTAGCTCTAAGTTGCTTTGTCTGCCTGCAGTCGCTTCCTGCTTGTAGTTTCTCTTGCTCCATCCTTGGCTTTTCCTTAGGCTTCCGTCGTTGGCATGTTGCTTGCTGCTCTTTTCCCTTCCATCTTCTGGTTATCTTCTCCTACTTCTGTTTCACTCTCTCCCCTGTTCCACTTGCACTTTCCTCTCTTGCCCTTATCAAGCATTGCCGGGGTGGCGCAGGGGTTAGAATGCAGTATTGCAGGCTAACTCACTGTTCACTCCAGGAGTTCAATTCTTGCAGACTCCAAGTTGACTCAGCCTTCCATCCTCCTGAAGTCAGTAAAATGAGGAGCCAGATTGTTGGGGGGCAAGATGCCCTCTGTAAACCGCATAGAGGTTTATTGTAAAGCACCGTGAAGCAGTATATAACTCCAAGCGCTGTTGCTATTGCATATCCTTTCTTGCTACATATGCAGAAATGCTCTGGTCTTTGATGTCCTTCTGAGAAGCAGTCCTGTACTGCACTGTACTCTCGACTGACACCTTTTTTAGGATCAGTTCCCTGTTCATGACATCCCAGTTCCTCTGCCAGAGATTTTGGTCATCTTCCTCGAAGTACATCACAGAAAGAGACTCTCCTTAATAACCTTAAATGCTCTCTTGCCAGGATGAAGCCCACTTGGAGTCGGGCCAGCCAGTGCAGTATGAATCTGAGGTCGTCATGTACCTCCAAGAGTGCGAGGGACTCCTCCGACAGCTGCAGGCAGATGTTCAGATACTCCGGGATGAGAACTATTACCAGTTGGAGGAGTTGGTCTTCAAGTGAGTGATGTTCGTGGGCAGCTGAGCTCAGAAGGGAGCATTTAAGAGCACGTAAAAAGTTGCACTTGGAGTCTGGGGAAAGGGTGGCCCTTCCGTGGTGCCAAGGGCGGCTGGTCCTGGGCCATTCCGAGGGCCTTGTAATGCTTGGAGGGGCCCCGTGACTTTCCATCGGACAGATCCAGTGATTGGATTTACACTGCGCTGCACTCGCACAGGAATCATTTCACACAAGCACAAACGTTATAATCCCTGTACCCCAATAAAACCCCAAAACATAAAGCACCCAAACTAAGACATGTCTGGTCACGTGATGCCTCAAATTTACAACCGTGACTTATGACCATAATTCTGGGCTTGATTATGGTCATAAGTCAAGGACTTTTTCATTTTTAGTAATCTGTTATATTTTAATAATGAGTGTTGTTTATGTGCAATTGCTTTATTGATTGTTGTACACCACCCAGAGAGACTTTTTGTGAAATGGATGGCCATATAAATGGGATACATACATAAAGGACCAGGAAGTTTCCAGCACTGTGTTGCATGTATGTGTGTGTATGTTTGATCTTCTGCCAATCTTGCCTCTTCAAACAATCAGTCAGAATGAGCTGGAAGGGACCTTGGAGGTCTTCTAGTCCAGCCCCCTGCTCAAGCAGGAGACCCCGTACCATTCCAGACAGGTGGCTGCCCAGTCTCTTCCCAAAAGCCTCCAGGGATGGAGCAGCCACGAGGCTTCTGGAGGCAACTTCTGTTCCCCTGGTGAACTGTCCTCCCTGTGAGGAAGTTTCTCCTTAGTTCCAGGTTGCTTCTCTCCTGGATTGGTTTCCATCTCTTGTCTCCTGTCCTGCCCTCTGGGGCTTTGGAGAATAATTTGACCTCCCTCTCCTCTTTGTGGCAGCCCCTCAAATACTGGAATGCTGCTATCATGTCCCCCCCCCCCCGCAGTCCTTCTTTTTTCTAGATTGGCCAAACCCAAATCCTGCAGCTGTTCTTCATATCTTTTAGTCTCTAGGCCCTTAATCACCTTAATTGCTCTTCTTTGCATTTTTTCCAAAGTTCCAATATTTTTTTGGTAATGTGGTGACCAAAACCAGACACAGTCTTCCAGGTGTGGCCTTAATAAGGCTTTATAAAGAGGTACTAATACTTCATGTGATTTTGATTCTATGCCTCTGTTTATACAATGTAGGATTGCATTAGCTTTTTTGGCTGCTGGCACACATGGCTGGCTCGTGTTTAAGTGATTGTCCACTAAGACTCCAAGGTCCCTCTCACAGTGACTGTTTTTGAGCCAGGTTTTGCTCAAAATGTACTTGTTTGTTTTTTCCTGCCCAAGTGTAAAAATTTGCTTTTCTCCACATTAAATTTCATTTTGTTGGATCGGGCCCATCGCTCAAGTCTGTCAAGATCTTTTTGGATCCTGGGTTTGTCTTCTGGGGTGTTGGCTATTCCTGCCAGCTTAGTGTCATCTGCAAATTTGATGAGTTCCCCCTTTATTCCCTCATCTACGTATGAAGATATTGAAGCCTCCTGGGCCTAAGACGGAACCTTGTGGTTCCCCACTGCTGACTTTCCTCCTTGTAGACGTAGACCCATTAAGGACTACTCATTGAGTACGGTTTGTCAGCCAGTTACAAATCCATCTGGTGGTGATTATGTCTATCTTGCCTGATTTTCTCCCAGGATTGTGCGGCTTCAAGATGAATTGGTAACTTTGAGGCTGGAATGTACCAACCTTTACCGGAAAGGTCACTTCTCCTCCCCCTCCTCCTTGGACTTGGCACAGCCTTCCTCCTTGAGCACCAGACACGTGAAGACGGAACCTCTGCTAAAAGGAACGATTGCCCCTCCTGCCTCTGCCTCCTGGATTCGGAAGCCAATGACTCGCGTGGAGTTGGTGTCCATTTCATCCTCTGAAGACGAGGGCAGCCTCCGCTTTGTGTATGAGCTGCTCTCTTGGGTAGAAGAGTTACAGGTGTGTTGCATGGTGGGAAGGTGTTCAGACAAAGTGCTGAACTAGGTCAGTTGCTGCCCTTGTGCAGCAGGCTAAATTGGCTAGTGTGGAGCTTGGTTAGATTTTTTGTGTGTGTGTGGCCTAATTTGTTGCATGAACCCAATTCATGTCTAGTATGGTGTCATTACAAACTTAGAAAATGGGTTACTTCAGTCACCAGATTAGGTATGTTGTATGAATCCAATCTGTGGGTGTAGTACTATTTGAAAAAAAAAAAGTTAATAACATTCTAAGATTCCATGAATACTTTTTAAAAATGGTTTGATTATTTATTTTGTTTATAAACTCTAGATTACGGAAGTATAATAAAAGTCATGTTGTTTTATTAACAAAAGCCTCATACAAAGTGAAGAGAAAATTGTATAGAGAGCAGAATCTACGTTCCAGGGGTCTCCAATCTTGGCAACTTTAAGATTTGTGGACTTCAACTCCCAGGATTCCTCAGCCAGCAAAGCTTTCTGGGAGTTGAAGTCCAGTACAACATGGGCTACTTTCAAGGCAGAGGCATCTCTGAATATCTCCTTGAATCTTTAAGAACTTTCCCAGGACATGAAAAGCTCTGCTATTGTTGTAAGCGTTGAAGTTTCTGGTCAAGAACTCTCTTGGAAACGATGATGATCCCAAAGGGTCTCAGGTTGTCTGTAATCTGTAATCTGTAATCAGTAATCTGATGTTTGGAGCTGCTCTTTTTATAAGGCCCAGAGAGATCACAGAGAGAGCAGAGAGAAGGGGCACTGAGGGGATTTTGGTTTGCACCGGTATAATGAACACAACACAAGCAATCCAGTTTGCCTTGAAAAACATTATTTGGCCAATTTATTGGAAAAGTTAGGCAAATTTGGGAAAGATCTCCGCTGATTGTTCTTTCTATTGCCAAATGTTGTAAATGTAAATAGTTATGATTTTTTTTTTTTTAGTTTTAAAAATCAATTGGAAAAGGCAGTAGAGTGGAAAGAAAGGTTATTGATCAGGAGAACCTTTTGGTAAGAATTGCTGAGGCTTTTCCCCGGCATTGAGAGGGGGCTGCTTTTGATGCCCTTTCAGATGAAGCTGGAGCGGTCTGAATGGGGGAATGACTTGCCCACCGTGGAAGCCCAGCTGGAGGTTCAGCGCCAGGTCCACAGTAGCGTCGAAGGCATGGGCTCCAGTGTGAAGGAGGCCAGGATGTACGAGGTGAGCAGACCCACCTGGGCTCATTTGACCCCCTTCAAGATGACTTTGAGGACGCCGGGAGGCAAAGTGGGATTATGTTTGCCCCGTTTTCAGAGCTGAGAACATTTCTAATTGGGTTGATTTTCTGTAGAACATGGTAAGTTTTTTCTTGGTCTATAGCAATTGCAATAGCCCTTAGACTTATATCCCGCTTCCCAGTGCTTCCCAGCCCTCCCTCTCTAAGAGGTTTACGGAGTCAGCCTCTGGCCCCCAACAATCTGGGTCCTCATTTTACCCACCTCAGAAGGAGGGAAGGCTGAGTCAAATTTGAGCCTGGTGAGATTCGAACTGCCAAATTGCAGGCAGCTGGCAGGCAGCAGAAGTAGCCCTGCGGTACTGCACTCTAACCACTGTGCCACCACAGCTATAAGTGTTCACCTCACCTCACCATCACCTTAGTCCTCTGGATAGCATTGATAGCCAATGCAAAACCTCAAAAGATAGGTATCACGCTTGGCCTTTCACTAGGAGGCTCCGATTGGAACCCGGATGCTTTTGTAATCCATCTCTCCATCTTACAGCAGGTCCTTTGAGTAGGCGAGTCTAATGGTAGGGCCACCATTATGTCACTTTTGTGTCCGTCTGTTATCAAGCAAACATCCAAAGTATCTTGCCTTTTTCCGTGTCTGTTTAATGTGCTTTTTGATGGCATCTTTTAAGTTAGTCCATCATCAACCTAATTTCTGATCTGATCTTTGAGTTAAACATTTGTCTTTCTGTTGGAGTTTTTCCTCCATCTGAGTTCTATTCTACACTTCATTCTGAATTTATTTATGTAAAGAGTACAGATCTGTTGATAGGAACATATGAGTTTTTTCTGATCTTCCTGATTTGCCTTTGACCTCTGTGTCACCAGAAACTACCCTCCCCAAAGATTGGCGGTGGGCGGGGGGAGCTAAAGTAATTCATTTGGGTTTAAATGTATTTGAAACAAAATGTAGCTAATGTGATTATTGTCTAATCATGAATTTAGTCATTTTCCCCTTCTGTCATATTTTATATATATATCGCTTTCTCCCAAGGTTTTATTAAATCTCAATCAGACATACACACACAAAACACAAAAACATAAAACTTCTTTTTAAAAAGTAGCTTGGCCCCGGATTACCTCTCTTTGTATGGACTTCAATTAAATTCATGTTCAACTTATATACCATTACCTATCTTATTACCCTTCTATATCTTTATTATAACTTCTCCCTGCTTTCCACTCTTCTTAATTCTATTTTATTTATTTCATCTTAATTTAAATCATTGTATTTGTATCTTTTGTCCATTCTTTTCAATTATCCATTTATCTCATTCATATTAGAAAAAAAAATATTTCTCCTGAAATCACTAATCGAAGTATGATGCCTTTCCATCGCTCCCCTACATTAACATCTAATTCCTTATCTAATTCTGCTTAGTACATTCTACTTACTAAAATAGTAAATCCATAAAGTAATTAAATATATAATTAAACATTAGATCTCATAGCATTCCAATTATCTATTTCAAAAACAAATACCATAATAATAAGTTTGTACGAACATCCACACAATAGTCAATTAAACTCTATACTTAAACTAAATGTTTTAGACATTCCTTTTAATATTTTATTAAATCTTAAAATCTATCATTATTAAACCTTTAATATTTTAATCTTTACTTAAGCCTTATAAAATTCTAATTTTCTAATTCTCATACAAATACTACAATACTATCATGTACCTTGCAGAAACATTTTGAAACAAAGTTATGCATTACCTATTATCCATAAAAAAAGATTTCTTCTCCACACCTTATTTCATACCTTTTTGGCTTTTTTCCCCCTTCTTCCTTCCTATCTTATCCCATCTGGTCTTTTTACCCCCCCTTCGCTCCCCCCCCCTCTGTTACATTTCTCTTTTCTTTTGCTTTCTAACAGTATATTGATTATGCATCTTATTTTTCTCTTTCTTGGATGTTTTTTTTTAAAGTCTTATGTCCTTTTAGACTCATTAAAGATGGCTTCTTCTTCTTCTTCTTC